GTGAATAAATGCCTTCTCAGTGATAGTCCATCTATAAACTGGCATGTGATGTTAAATAATGATATGCCAGAGATTTTAGAATCAGGAAGACCTAGGCCTGATTCCTAACTCTCAATCTTATGACTTGAGCAAAATACCAAACCTCTTTGTGCCTGTTTTTTTATTTTATTTTATTTTATTTTATTTTATTTTTTATAACATGGAGATAAATCTATTTTCTTCATGGGGTCATTGTGAGGAATAAATAAGGCAATATATAGAGAGCATTTAGCACGTTCTGGAACATGGTGAGCAGTTGGTATATGTCTGCAATTATAAACAGGTAGTTTAAAACTTTTGCTGCCTTCTGAAAAACCATGAGGTTGAAAATGTGTCTCAAGTCAAAATACCTGGCAGGAACTATGCTCAGACACAAGATCCAGAATATCTGAATAGTTGAAGTATAAAACAAATTAAGTTTTCTTCAAATGAAGAAGTAAAGGACAGTTAAATAGTGATAGGTAACACTTAAAGTTTACTAAAGATGAAAACTGGGTCTTAACTGAGGCACAGCGGATGGTATTTTGTAATTTGCTGTTATGTTGTCCTCTTTGTTCTAACTCTAGCCTGAGTTTAATCAAGGAAGACAGAAATGAAATCAGGGATTTCATAGATCAGATGGAGCACTCACTTTATTATTGGCTACATCTGCTCAAAGGACTCATGAATGTGCAGAGTCAGTCCTATCTGAGAGGAGCTGGGTGCCCAGGTAATTATAGACCCTTTTTTTGCAAAATTTTATCATCAGCGTATTTGACAACACTACCTGTGAACCACCTCATCGTGCCCCCATCCCCACCATATACCCAAATGTCCTTGGGTATATGTATTAGTTTTCTACTGAAGTCTGGGCAAGCTTGGCTGGATTCTTTGCTCAAGTCTTACAAGGTGGAACTCAAAATGTCTACTGGGCTGAGCTCTTACTGTGAGGATCGGAGGAAAAATTTGCTTCTGAGATCATTCAGGTCATCAATAGAAACAAGTTCCTTTCTGTTGTAGATCAAGGTCCCTGTTGCCTTGCTGTTAGCCAGGGGTCACTCTTGGCTTCTCAGGATCTTTTCCATGTGGCCTCCTCCATCTTTACAACAGGCAATGGCCCATCCAACAGGAAGGATGTTACATTTGTTAACTTCACACTGAGTGTATTTACCCACTTTTCTCTCTTTGAGGTGTTAATGATCTGTCTGGAAAGATGGACAGGTAAATAACTGTAATTCAGTGAGCTAAGTGCTATAATACAGCTGTATAAGGTCACACACTTCCTGGAATTGAAGATACCTTTTTTTTTTTTTTTGGCACGTGCCCCTAGTGGGAACCGAACCCGGGACTCTCTTGTCCGCAGGCCAACACTTCAACTGCTGAGCCAAACCGGCCAGGGCAAGATACCTTTGATTGTGGAATGCACCATCAAGTTCCAACAACCTTTTGAGACATTAAGAATATCTTATCAAATGTATGTGTATATTTTAAAATATGTTTTTATTGATTTTTAGAGAGAGGGAGGGAGAGAGAGAGAAACATCGATGTGAGAAACATTGATCTGCTGCCTCCGGCATGCCCCCTACTGGGGATCTAGCCACAACCCTGGCATGTGCCCTGACTGAGAATTAAACTGGGACCTCTTAGTCCATGGGAAGATGCTCAATCCACTAAGCCACACCTACTGGGTCAAATGTATATGTTTTTAAAAACTTGATAGACAACAGTAGAAACTTATCACTGGAATTACTAGCCTCTTTTTTAAATCAATGAGCCATGATTTTCGTGAAGAGTCTAACTCTATTTGGATCCATGCAGCCACTCCTAAAATGTGAAGCTGTCATCAATTCTAGTTCCGAAAGTTTTTTGACCTTTACCGAGAATTTAGTTAAAAGTACACATCTGCAAGCAATGACAGTTATGTTACTTTTCCACTGACTTCTCTGTCTACCTGGCATCTGTCTAGTTTCTTTTAATACTGATTGTAGCCCGGCTGGTGTGGCTCAGTGGTTGAGCGTCGACCCATGCACCTAAAGGTTGCCGGTTTGACTCCTGGTCAAGGCACATGCCCAGGCTGTGGGCCTGAACCCCAGTGGGGGGCATGCAGGAGGCAGCTAATCGATGTTCTCTCTCATCGATGTTTCTATCTCTCTCCCCCTCTCACTTCCTCTCTCTCTAAAATCAATAAAGGGGGAAAAAAAAATACTGATTGTAAGACCTATCCTGATTTCTAAAGTATTATAATGTGAAAAAATTTGGGACTTATTTTTGAAGACATATGGTTTTTATTTTTTTAATTTTTTTTTTAATCCTCACTCGAGGACATTTTTTCCATATTTTGTTCAGATAGAGTGGGAGGGAGAGAGAGAGAGAGAGAAACATGGACGTGAAAGGGACACATCGAGTGTTGCCACCCGCACAACCCAACCAGGGCCAGGGACAAACTGCAACCAAGGCACATACCCTTAGCGGGAACCAAACCCGGGTCTCTCTGGACCGCAGGCCAACGCTCTAACCGCTGAGCCAAACCGGCCAGGGCTGAAGACATATGGTTTTTAAAGTGCTCCTGGGGCCTTGGCTGGGTAGCTCAGATGGTTAGAGCATCGACCCAATACTCAAAAGTTGCAGGTTCAATCAGTCAGGGCATGTAAAAGAATCAACCAATGAGTATGTAGATAAGTGGAACAACAAATTGATGTCTCCTCTCTAAAAAACAAAACAAAATACACACATATATATGTGTGTGTATATATATATAATATATATTTATTTATATAATTTATTTTTTTTTAAAAAGAGCTCCTGGGAAATAAACAAGGAAGTGATTAATTTAGCCGCGGGGTAGAGGTGACATTTGAGTTGAGTCTGGCAAGTTGAGTAGGAGTTTCCCAGGCCGATAAGAGGCTAAAAGGTATTCCAGGCTCAGAGAAACCTCTGTTATGCTTCTTATCTGAAGCTATCCTGTTCATATTGCTCCATTCCATGAGTCTTGTAAATTCTTGAGGTCATGAACAAATTCTAACTCCCAAAATGACAATTTAGCTCATTATTGCAATTTTATTTATTCATTTCATATTTACTAACTTTATACTTACTGACAAGTAGTATTTCAAGTAGCTCATTGTAGAAAACTTAGTAAATACAAAGAAGCAAATAAGTGAACAAATCCCACACAAATACACTTTTTAGTTTACCCTCTTGAGAAACCATAGTGAATATATTGGTGTATATGCTACAAGGTTTTCTCCCTATTCATATGCACATCTATATGTATATACCTTTAGAGCAAAAATAGTATCACAATATATTAGTTCATAATTTGTGTGTGTGTGTGTGTGTGTGTGTGTGTGTGTGTGTGTGTATGTAGAGAGAGAGAGAGAGGGCTCTTCAACAGTTCAGCAGTTTAAGGTAAGCGTGGATAGTTACTCAGAAAGTGTAGACAATAAAAGGAAGAGGGCTGAGGACAGAATTCTGTTTAATATCAATCATTGTAAGGGTAGCACACAAGGTGCAAGGGGAAGAGCTCTAAAAGGGGCAGAGTCCCCTAAAAGAATGTAAGGAAAGGAACACAGTTCTCCTGCTTGCTTGCTTTATTTATTTACTTATTTATTTATTATTTTTAAAACTATGTGTTTCACTGATTTTAGAGAGAAAGAGAGGAAACATGATCAGCTGCCTCCTGCAGGCCCCTTCCTGGGTGGGGATGGAGCTTGCAATCCCAGGCATGTGCCCTGACTGGGAATGGAACCCGCGACCTCGTGCATGGGACAACGCTCAGCCAGCTGAGCCACACGGGCCAGGGCTAGCTCTCCTGCTTTAGCATTCATTTCTCAACTACTAGGAGGGCAGCGCAGTTAAAATCTGGAGTCTGCTGGCGAATCTAAGAGAGAACTGAGGTCAGACTGCCAGACTCTGCAGTCCCTTGCGGCAGTTGGGTCCTGCTTGTGTCCAATAAGAACAACCTGGGCCACTTCAAAGGACCCCCTCTTTGAGCCCTTTGGTGCAGAGATCAGCTCGGCAGGCAGGGGAAGGGAAGGCGGCCACGTTTCTTATTTCAAAACACCGACAATGGCAGCTTTTTTGTCGGAGGTGCGGAGGAGGTGGCGGCCAGAGAGGTTAAGGCACCAGGGCGGTGTCGGGCTCCGCCTCCTTTCTTCCGCCTCTCGGCCGCTCCTAGGGGCGCGGGGCGGGATGTGGGCGGAGCAAGGGGCGGAGCAGGTCTCTCGGGCCCCGCCTCCTCCCGCCCGTTCCCATCGGCTTGGCAGGGTGGGGCCGCCGGGGCGGGGCTGCGGGGCGGGGCCTCGGGGACCAGGGCAGCCCGCGCACTCGGCAGGAGCTGCAGCCGCCGCCGCCCGCGCCTCCAAGGTCTCAGCGCTTCCTCAGCAGAGACCTGCGCTCAGCCGCCATGTCCGCCACCGACGAGGCTGACGGACTGGGCGTGTCCCGGCCGCACTATGGCTGTGAGTGCGGGGCTCCGTGGAGCGGGGGTTTCGGGGCCGGGCTCCCTGCCTCCTTGGCGCCGTTTCCCTGGGGGCTCGGCCGGGCGGGTGGGGCAGGGCGGCTTGGGCCGCGCGGACCCGGAAGAGCCGGGGCGGTGGGTGGGGGTGGTGGCGGGCTCGTGGCTCCCGGCCCGCGCCCCTCGGGCTCCGAGGCGGCGGGGGGGCACCCAGGCGGCGTCCACGCTTCAGCTGGCGCGTTGCGGCTGGAGGGCCTCACCCAGCGCCGCCCGCTGCCCAGCTCGGCCGAGATTGAGGGGCCGGCCTGGGGTGAGGTGGCAGGAGGACCGTGCAGGGCGTGTCTCGAGGGCTGGAGACGGGGCTCTGCTGCTCCTTCCTGGGGAGCTGCTGCCCTGGTGCTGCCGGCGGGGGAGACCCCGGGTCCAGACCTGCCCGGCCCCGGGCGAGCCGAGGTGCGGCCCTGGGCAAGTCACTTCAGCTTTCTCGACTCAGTTCCCTCGTCAGGATTTCAAAAGTGAAGAAAAAAAAAAAAAACCAAAACAACAAAAAAAAGCCCCCTGACTTCCTCATTTTCCGTAGCTGCCCCTGGGACGTCATTGACCTGCAGGCGGGACAGTTACCACCGATCAAAGTCCTCTGGAGTCTTGAGGTTTTCGGTTTTATGTTAGACCCTGGGAGTAATCTGTATTTAGGCTAATTTCCCTCATCAACAGTTATCTGTGAGGCATTGTGTCCCGTTGGTGAAATTAAAGGTGAGTAAGACCAGGCCCAGCCTTCAAAGAACGTTTCAGTCCGGGGAGACAGGCAGGTGGACAACCCGGCGATAATAAGATATAATAAAGATAAAAGATGCGTGAAAAAAGCTCGGCATACACAGCGTGGGTGAGGACCAGCTTGGGGAAGGGAGGGGTCCCACAGGTGGTGACATTTGAGCTGAGCCTTGAAGTATGCTGTCAGGTCTCATGGGGCAGTAGATAGGACTTGAAGAGGGAAGAGCATACATTCAGGTATTGAACGTAAAAGGCACTGGAAGGTGTGGTGTGGAGGGCACCGTGGTGGGAGGAAGGGCAGGGAGAGGGAGGAGAGTTTCCGAAAGCAGTTGGAGCTACACTGGGAAAGGCCTTGAATGCCATGCCGAGGAGTAAGGAATTTATTCTGGACACCCTGAGTGCCCGTGCAGGAGGTACTGTAGACTGCTTCCAGGTTCAGTGCTCACGCAGGCTTTCGAGATGGATTGCCTAGGTTTGACTCCAGGCCCCACCACTGTCTACCGGGGGGCTGAGACCACCCGGCCTCAATCTTCTCATCTGTAAAATGGGAGTGATAATCACGGGATTGTTGTGGGGCTTCATTGAGAGAATGCATATACCACGCTTAGCACAGTCACTGCACTTTGTTCTCAATGACTGGACTGCTGCTGGCTTTAGTTATTCATAAAAGAGGGAAACTACATGATCAGTTCCGTATTTAGAAAGAGTCTGGCAGATGGACTAGGGCAGCTTTGGCCCAATAGGTCAAGTTATTATTTTTCAAGTTATGCTAAAATATAGCACATGTTCATAGTATCATACTTAAAAAAAAAAAAGGATAAGATGGGGATAGTTGAAATCCCATAGTTCCATTGCAGTGCCCCTGGCTATCCACCCGTCTACAGGTTGCCCTGACTCTAAGTGACAAGCAGGAATTTGATGATGTGGTATTCTGTTATCGCTCAGAAAGGTTACAGATTCTGTTCATATTCTTTCATGTTTCAGCTGTCCTGGATAATGAGAGACTCACTGCAGAGGAAATGGATGAAAGGAGACGTCAGAATGTGGCTTACGAATACCTTTGTCATTTGGAAGAAGCAAAGAGGTAAAGATTGGTTGACTGGAAAGAAGATTGGGAATACAGATAAAGATCTCTCTGAGTATGTTGTAGATGTGCCTGAGGGAGGCTGGTGGTTTGAAGGAGTGAGTATAGGTAGGGTATTATTCATGGGAGCAAGTAACCTTGATGGTATTTTATTCATGAAACACTGATGGGCATTTTTGTATACTGAACAATGTTCAGATTTATGTTGTTCTGTTTTATGTTTATGGTGCATGTTTGGGGCACTACCAGCTGTGGGGGAGAAGTAGCATTTTTAGAATTTGAACTTCTTGGCTTTAATGTTTCACTGGTTCTTCACTGTTTTTGATTTATAGATGAATTGAGTTCCTTTACACCTTGGTAGTGCTATGAGTATAGGTCTATCCATTTGGCAGTATTCAAAGACAGCTTACCAAAGGCAGCATCCTCTGCATTCTTTGTGAGGTGAATGTACAGCTGTTCTTTTTCTTTTTCAGATGTTTCAAGACCTTGTGGTCTTATTCTTAGTGTTGGTTTGCTATCTGTTGTGTATTTCTTTTGTTCTGGTGCTGTATTCCTTTGAATGTCTCAGGGTAGAAAGATGTAATTACAGATCAGGTATCCTATAAGTGAGCTTTGGTGAAAAAGGCCAGCAAGAGATAATGAAAGTCGTTCTGATTCATAGTCTAATGAAGGTCATGGAGGTTTTAAATGTTACCAATAAACAAGTTTTTTTTGTGTGTGTGTTTTAATTCTGAAAATATTAAAATGCTACAGGAAAGTCCGAGAACAGTACAGCAAACATCTATGTATTTCAGAAGGAACAAATGTTAGCCCTTCAGATCTTTCCCTTTCCTCTCAAAAAGACATAGTGGAGCCCTGGCCAGTTTGTCTCAGCAAATAGAGCGTCGGCCTGCGGTCCAGAGAGACCCAGGTTTGGTTCTCGCTAAGGGCATGTACCTTGGTTGCGGTTTGTCCCCGGCCCAGGTTCGGTCGTGCAGGTAGCAACCACTTGATGTGTCCCTTTCATGTCGATGTTTCTCTCTCTCTCCCTTCCACTCTATCTGAACAAAAAGTGGAAAAATGCTTTCTGGTGAGGATAAGAAAAGAAAAAAAAAAAAGATATAGTGGAGCCTGGCGGTGTGGCTCAGTGGATTGAGCATCATTCCATGGACTCAGAGGTCCCAGTTGCATGGACTGAGAGGTCCTGGTTTCATTTCTGGTCAGGGTATGTGCCCTGGTTGTGGGTTCGATCCCCAGTAGGGGGTGTGCAAGAGGCAGCCAATCGATGTTCCTCTCTGACATCAAAGTACATAGAAATTTTTTGTTTTTTTTATCCTCACCTGAGGACATTTTTCCATTTTTTGTTCAGATAGACTGGGAGAGAGAGAGGGAGAGAAACATCGACGTGAAAGGGACACATCGAGTGGCTGCCACCCGCACGACCAACCAGGGCCGGGGACACACCGCAACCAAGGTACATGCCCTTAGCGGGAACCAAACCCGGATCTCTCTGGACCGCAGGCCGATGCTGAAACCGCTGAGCCAAACCGGCCAGGGCTGACATCGAAGTTTTTATCTCTGTCTCTAAGAAATCGATAAAATAGCCCTGGCCGGTTTGGCTCAGCTGTTAGAGCGTCGGCCTGCGGTCTGGAGAGACCCGGGTTCGGTTCCCGCTAAGGGCACGTACTTCAGTTGCACGTACTTCGGTTGCAGTTTGTCCCCGGCACTGGTTGGTCGTGCGGGTGGCAGCCACTCGATGTGTCCCTTCACGTCGATTTTCTCTCTCTCTCTCCCTTCCTCTCTCTCCTTTTCACTCTATCTGTACAAAAAATGGAAAAATATCCTCGGGTGAGGATTAAAAAAAAGAAAGAAATCGATAAAATATATATATATATATATAAAGACACAGTGGAGTCCCCTTTGTGCTCTTTTCTGGTCCCATTCTCTTTCTTCCTGTCCCTGGGGCTACCTAACATGCATTTGGTGTGTCCTCTTGAATCTAATCTTCTTTTCTAAACTTGAAGCCCTTCCAGGAGACTGTGGGAGGGATGGAGTGGGATTAGCGATGATTTAGGTGGGGAGAATTGTTTTTTTAAATGGAAGGTTAGACACCAGATGAATATGTTATTACAAAAGGGGTTAATTCTTATGCAGAGTTTGTAAGGATTCCTTGAACAAGAATATGAAGTCCTCTGCTTCTCCTTTGTAGACTAGATCTAGTTTTGGAAGGTCAAAGAATTTGGAATCTGCAGCTGGCCAGTTTGTACTCTGAAACCTTGGTGACTCTGTTGAGATGACCCAACTTACCTTCCTTCCTGCATCCAAAGCAGTTCTACTTTTCTTTCTTTCTTTTTTTTAATTTATTGATTTTTAGAGAGAGAGGAAGGGAGAGAGAAAGAGAGAGAGAGATTGATTGATTCTACTAATTTATACATCCATTGGTTGATTCTTATATGTGCTCTGATGGGGGATTGAACCTTCAATCTCGGTGGACTGAGACAACGCTCTAACCCTCTAACCACTGATTTACCCAGTCAGGGCTCTGGTTTTTTTTTTTTGTTTTTTTTTAATTTATATGTATTTATTGTAGTTTTATTGTCCTTTAACATTTCATGTAATGCTGGTTTGGTGGTGATGAACTTAGCTTTTTCTTGTCTGGGAAGCTCTTTTTTTTTATCCTCACCTGAGGACATTTTTCCATTTTTTGTTCAGATAGAGTGGGAGGGAGGGAGAGAGAGAGAGAGAAACATCAACGTGAAAGGAACACATCGAGTGGCTGCCACCGCACAACCCAACCAGGGCCGGGGACAACCGAGGTACACGCCCTTAGCAGAAACCGAACCCGGGTCTCTCTGGACCGCAGGCCGACGCTCTAACCGCTGAGCCAAACTGGCCAGGGCTTGTCTGGGAAGCTCTTTAACCTTCAATTCTAAATGATAGCTTTGCTGGGTAGAGTAATCTTGGTTGTAGGTGTTTACTTTTCATCACTTTGACTATTTCTTGCCATTCCTTTCTAGCCTGCAAAGTAGGTAACTAACTGCTTTTCTCTTACTACTTTTATTTATTTATTTAAATATGTTTTTATTGATTTTTTTTTTAGAGAGAGAGGAAGGGAGAGAGAGTTGGCTGCCTCTTGCACTCCCAGTACTGGGGATTGAGCTCGCAACCCGGACATGTTCTCTAACTGGAAATTGACCTGGGACCTGTCAGTCCATGGGACAACGCTCAATCCACTGAGCCACACCAGCTGGGCTCTCTTGCTGCTTTTAAGAGTCTCTCTTTGGCCCTGGCTGGTTTGGCTCAGCGGTTAGAGCATTGGCCTGAGGACCACAGAGTCCCAGGTTTGGTTCCTGCTAAGGGCACATACCTCGGTTACAGTTTGTCCCCGGCCCCGGTTGCGGTTGTGTGGGTGGCAACCACTCATGTGTCTCTCTCACATTGATGTTTCTCTCTCTTCCTCCCTCTCTCCCTCCTGTTCTATTTGAAGATAAATGCAAAAATGTCCTTAGGTGAGGATAAAATAAATAACTAACTAAATAAGAGTCTCTCTGTCTTTAACCTTTGGCATTTTGATTATGATGTGTCTTGGTGTGGGCCTCTTTGTATTCATCTTGTTTGGGACTCTGGGCTTCCTGGACTTGTATGTTCATTTCTTTCACCAGGTAAGGGAAGTTTTCTGTCATTATTTTTTCAGATAGGTTCTGCTTTTTTTTTTATCCTCACCTGAGGACATTTTTCCATTTTTTGTTCAGATAGAGTGGGAGGGAGAGAGAGAGAGAGGAATATTAACGTAAAAAGGACACATCAAGTGGCTGCCACCTGCACAACCCAATCGGGGCCGGGGACAAACTGCAACCGAGGTACATGCCCTTAGCGGGAACTGAACCCGGGTCTCTCTGAACCACAGGCTGACGCTCTAACCACTGAGCAAACTGGCCAGGGCTCTGCTTTTGTTTTAATATTGGGTTTCTACAATAAAATTTCCTTGTTACAGAGGGTGTCTTGGCTGACACCCTCTTGCAGCCGCTAATCTATTTCAATCATCTCATTTCAGTGAGGAAACTGAAGCTAGTTTCATGGTCTACTTGCAGTTTTTTTAAAAACAACTATATATATATACTTATTTTAGAGAGAGAGGAAGGGAGAGGGAGAGAGAGATAGAAACATCGATGAGAGAGAATATCTTGCCTGCTTCTTGCACGCCCCCCCATTGGGGATTGGGCCCACAACCCGGGTATGTGCCCTGACTACGAATCAGACTGGTAACCTCTTGGTGCATGGTCCACACTCAACCGCTGAGTCACACTGGCCAGGATACTGGTAGTTTTCTAGATTGAAGAATAATTGTCATCATTTTATAGAGTGGTTCTTAACTAGGCGTTTGTAGTAGAATCACTTGAGAAACTTAAAAAAAAACACACACAAAAACAGAAATCCAGGCCTTACCATAGAGTTTCTGGTTCAGTAGATCTGGGCTGGAAGGTCCAGACACCTGTATATTATAAATGCTTCTAGTGGTTCTGATGGTCCCTTCTGGTTGTAAAACAAGATTTAAAACATTTTTGAAGTTTGCCTGTGCTGGGATATTATAGCCTGAATAGAATGATGCTTTTATAATCACATTTCCTTTTTCAGTTGCTGCCCTGGCAAGGCATTTATTTCATTTGTCAGGTGTTTTTTCCAGTATAGGAAGGTAGCCTATTTCCTTTAAAACCCATCCAGGGGGCCATGATCCCCTGGGGCATTGTTAGTTGGGTGATTTTACATACTTAGGAGGTGACTAAGGCAGTGAGACATTTGTGCTAGACTTTATTTTTTATGCTTTGGTTCTAAGGGAAGACATAATAGTGGCATATTTGCCCTGGTATACTGTGCCTGCTGGCTTGGCATTGTGGAAATGTGTTTGGTTTATTTTATGGAGGCAATCTTATAAAATCTGGATATGGTGATTTTTTTTGTTTAAAGCTTTGATTAGAAAATCAACTTTGGAAGCACCAGTTTAGATTTGACAACTAGTCAGG